GGGAAGCCGGGAGGGGGATAGGGGGGGGGGGGGGGGGGTTATTTTTCTCCGTCTTGCGTTCTCCGGCAAAGCGCACATTGTGTCATAATAATTTCATTAGCAGATTCCTCTCCTGTTAGGAGGATTTATCTCCAGCGTGTCCCCGGCCTTCCCTACCCCACTGCCACCTCTCTCATCTCCAACGTTTGGAGGGAAAGTGACAGATGGAGCAGCTGATAAAACATGAATTATGAGGAAGGATCGGGAAGCAGCCGCTCACGTGTATTAAGCTGCAGAGCTGTAGGGAGCAGGGACGAGCTTGGGTTTGTCCAGACCTGGAGGGGAGCTGTCAGTGCTGGCCTAATCAGCTGCGGCCGGGGCATCCCCCACATTATTTATTTAATTTATTACAGGTATTTATAAAGCGCCAGGCAATTTACACAGCGCTTTACATACTGCACCTCACAGCAGTCCCTGCCCTCTAGGAGCTTGCAATCTAAGGTCCCTATTGTTGAAAATACAACCGCATATATTATGTCTTTTGAGCTGTAGATGGCGCTGTAGTGCAGTGCTAGTCTGTATGTTCATGCTTATCTATGATACACAGGAAGTTCTCTCTGTATGATGTATAATGCTGTATTCTGATGTAATATTCTCCTAAGCACGTAAAACCTAATTCATAATTCCTCAAGATCTCAGTGCTTCATCTAAACACATAACCAACACCTATCACGCATGCATACAGGGCCAATTTACCTTCCAGCATGTCCTTTGGAGTAAACCGGGGCACCCGGAGGAAACCCATGCAAGCACAGGGAGAATATGCAACGTCCTTGCAGATCGTGTCCTGACTGGGATTCGAACCGGGGACCTCCAGACCCACCACTAAGCCACTGTACTGCCCATAAACAAAGGGCGGGATGCTGGTGACATCATTGACCTTATAAGGCCACATGCTCCCCTGAAGTTCTCTACAGGCAGCCTGTAGTGGGTGGAGCCTGCTGGGCCCCTCCCACAGCTCTGCACAGGCTATGTACAGAATAGTAATGATGTCACTGCTGCCTTTACAACAGAATAACTTGGTTTGCGAAGTCATTCGGTGCACACAAAGTGGATTGATATCCTCTGAGGCTTCTGTGGAATGTGCCTGGAGTTCAGCTTTAATCTTAATATATTTCTAATGGAGGTCGCCATTGTTTGACTCACAAGCTGTGTGCTAATTCCGGCACCTGCTGGAAGCTGTAAAAGCAGCTTGTAAATCAGACAATGGCGGCCTCTAGTAGACCAATTCCCTTATTTAAAGTGACTGCAAGTAGAAACAAATCACGCACAATGATTTAACAAAGTCCAAGCACCAGTTGTGAAGAAAGCGGCCCCTGCGGTAGGAGTGTGATAAGTTTGGTCGAACGTCTTTTATTTACTTCAATGCAGCAAGACTGAGCTGGCCGATCACAGTGCTTTTGATGGGGACTGCAGACTCTTGTTACATGATTCTATACCATGCAGGTTTTGTCTCTGCTAACTACAAACAATGGTGTCTGAACCCCATAGCACTGGGTCTCTGCTGCTGCAGACTCAGTGATCCAGTAACCCAAAATACCAATTTCTATAGGGACTTGGCAAGTAAGGTGGCCGGCTGCAATAGGTGGTGCTATGCCCCTCGTCAGTTTAAGAACAAAGATGTACATCTGACCGGAGGAACTCTGAGCAAAAGATTTCTTAACCCTTGCAGTGGGGCTACCCCGACACCGGTTAAGTACTCGTTTGGTCTAGGGGGCTCTAATAACAGTTACACTCACCCGACCCTCGGAGCCGGTGTTCAATCGAAAGCTCTGACTTGTCGAGCTCTCCGACTGGGCACGCCACATCCGGTCACTGCCAGTAGGAGATGTAGAGCAGATGGAGCTAGTGTGCAGAAAATCCTTGTCCAACTGTTGCCACTGCGCCTCCGCGGCTAGCGGCTCATCGGATTCTATACTTAGTACAAACTTATATGTGTCGTAGGTTATAGGAGCCGATAGCCGCGCAGGCGCAGTGGCAACTCTGGTTGTAGAAAGAATCATGTGGTCACGCAGGCGCTGTAACATAATATAACCTTTGACTAGGTTATAGAATCCGATGAGGCAATAGCCGCTGCGCCCGTGCAGCTATCGGCTTCTATAACCTTGGACAAATATAACTGTAGTAGGTTATAGAAGTGGATAGCCGCGCAGGCGCAGTGGCAATAGAAAGACAGTTGGACAAGGATTTCCTGGGCATGCGCACTAGCACCATCTGCTGTAGATCTCCTGGCAGTCACCGGATGTGACACCACCAGTTGGAGAGGTCGACAAGTTGGAACTTTCGATAGAACACCGGCTTGTTTTTAGTCAGGTCCCTGCAGCCTCTCTCCCCCTCTGCTACAGCAGTCTAAGGTCCCAGAGTCATCATATTCTATATACAGTGTATAGGACATGAGGCTGCTGAGGAACATACCATTGCTGCAGTGAAGGGGTAGAGAGGCTGGAGGGAGCAAGCTGCGAGGTTCACCAGTATAACTTTGTTATTTATACACCTAGATAAAAATGAGCCCATAACCCTTGCAGTGCCGGGGTAGCGTCACTGCAGGGGTTAAGGAAAGTTTTCTTCTTTTAGCCTTGAAATGAATACAGTCTTTAGGTCCTCCGGGCATTTCTGTAGCGGCTTGCTGTTAACCCGTCCAGAAGCGGATCATACAAAATATGAAGCGTAGGCTCTGTACATTGCACTCACCGCTGGTACTGGGTCCTCGCGTTCCAAGAGATCCCTTATGAGTTTACTTCTCTCCGAAGGCAAGGCCAGATCACTCTGCAGCAGATCCCCTATAGACAGGTACGTGAGGCAGTATTTCTGTGCCAATTTCTCACATTGAATCCCCTTACCGGATCCCGGGCCACCTGTATACAAAAGAATATAAAGCATCAATGATACAACCTCAAACACTGCCATTCAACTTCAATTAAAGCCCAACAACATCCTACTGACAGGTCTAACCCTTCCCTTCCCCCAAATACATAGGTTTAGGGAAGGGTTAGACCTGTTAAGTTTTTTTTTTATATTGTTACCTATTTCCCAATGGGCAACTACTGTTGCCCATTGCCAATTGGTAGACAGGAACAGAGCGTTGTCACACTAAAACATGCTTTGCCCACACAAGCAGAACCACCCGGCCTGGTTTTAAATAAAATTGCAATAACTTTTGCAATGACATTAACATGTTCCGCATTAGATTTTGGTCGCTGCATTTAGATCTGCGAAGCGGGAAAACCAAGTTGATTTGTTCACTTTGTACCTCTGACGTTCGATGAATACTGATCAGCGTGTTCACGCCCACTACGCGTTTCGCTGTAATCACTGACTGCAGAGTAGCACTTCCCTTGCCGTGCCGGCCAGAAGCAGCTCGAATAGGAAATTCTTGCCTCGGGCTGGGAGGTCTGATAGCTGCACGTTACTAAACGACATCTCCGTGCGAGTGTTGGCGTGTTCATGAAAATGTCATGGTGCGCTACAGTTATGAAGAATTATCAGCAGAACCGCCGATAAATAATGAATGTGAAGAAATCGGTGGTGTGATATCCGAAGGCGGCGAGGAGGTACAACGCGGCGGAGGAGAGTTCATCTGAAGTCATCGCAGACGCAGCTTACAGCCCGGCGAGGTGGACAGGAAGGAACCACAAAGCCCTCCACTAGACCAGTGAGAAGCACAGCTGAGCTTTCTTGAAGCTGAACCCCAGGCAGGGATTACAAGTCATTTCTCTTTTTAAAGCGTATCTAGGGTCTAAAACTAAATATAAATCTGTATTTCTATATTGAATTTGCAGAAGTTCTCTCCCCATTACTAATAACCAGATCCAGCTAGAACTATGAAATCTTACCTATTAAAGATGCCCATAGGATGTACTTCCTCAATGGTGTCATCTCTCTCACAGAGCCGGCCTTCTGAGCTACAACTCAATATTGGAACAATGTAACATTATCATTGCTTGCTGGGAGCAATGCATGATGGGATATGTGGTCTTTGAGAAATGGAGATTGCATCACATCAAGCAGCAGGGAGAGAGAGGCAAAGCACACTGGGAATCCAGGAAGTGATGGGCAGATGGAAGGCGGCGCTCACTACATAAAAATTATTTTTCTCTATGGTTGTATTATCAGAAACAACTCTAGGATGTATTCCTATTACACTGCTGATGATATAACAGGAGAGGATATGCTGGGACTTCACAACTCCTTTAAATACAAGCAGTGCAAGTACAAGAATGTGACTTGGCATAAGCCGTTTGCATTTCCCTGTACAGCAGAGCTCAGACTAAGAAAGGGAGAAGCAGCAGAAAGAGCCAGTCAGTTGCAATGCAGCATTTATGTGCTAACATTCAGCATGCTGATAGGAGGAGAGAGCAGAGTGACAAGAGGGATGCGCTCATCAGTGTGCTTGCTGCTGCTTTGTTTACTGACTAGTCACAGGCTGGGGGAGGGACAAGACCTGTGCTACTTCACTGCAGGAGAGAAAATTCAGAGAGAGCTGTTCTTCAGAGCTGTGTAAATCTTAGAACTGAATGAACAGAATTAAAAAATCCCTTGGCACGCTTCCATGCTTGTATTTCATTAGTCTAACGACCTGTTTAACTAGAGGTCATCTCTCTCTCTCTCTCTCTCTCTCTCTCTCTCATCGCAGACGCAGCTTACAGCCCGGCGAGGTGGACAGGAAGGAACCACAAAGCCCTCCACTAGACCAGTGAGAAGCACAGCTGAGCTTTCTTGAAGCTGAACCCCAGGCAGGGATTACAAGTCATTTCTCTTTTTAAAGCGTATCTAGGGTCTAAAACTAAATATAAATCTGTATTTCTATATTGAATTTGCAGAAGTTCTCTCCCCATTACTAATAACCAGATCCAGCTAGAACTATGAAATCTTACCTATTAAAGATGCCCATAGGATGTACTTCCTCAATGGTGTCATCTCTCTCACAGAGCCGGCCTTCTGAGCTACAACTCAATATTGGAACAATGTAACATTATCATTGCTTGCTGGGAGCAATGCATGATGGGATATGTGGTCTTTGAGAAATGGAGATTGCATCACATCAAGCAGCAGGGAGAGAGAGGCAAAGCACACTGGGAATCCAGGAAGTGATGGGCAGATGGAAGGCGGCGCTCACTACATAAAAATTATTTTTCTCTATGGTTGTATTATCAGAAACAACTCTAGGATGTATTCCTATTACACTGCTGATGATATAACAGGAGAGGATATGCTGGGACTTCACAACTCCTTTAAATACAAGCAGTGCAAGTACAAGAATGTGACTTGGCATAAGCCGTTTGCATTTCCCTGTACAGCAGAGCTCAGACTAAGAAAGGGAGAAGCAGCAGAAAGAGCCAGTCAGTTGCAATGCAGCATTTATGTGCTAACATTCAGCATGCTGATAGGAGGAGAGAGCAGAGTGACAAGAGGGATGCGCTCATCAGTGTGCTTGCTGCTGCTTTGTTTACTGACTAGTCACAGGCTGGGGGAGGGACAAGACCTGTGCTACTTCACTGCAGGAGAGAAAATTCAGAGAGAGCTGTTCTTCAGAGCTGTGTAAATCTTAGAACTGAATGAACAGAATTAAAAAATCCCTTGGCACGCTTCCATGCTTGTATTTCATTAGTCTAACGACCTGTTTAACTAGAGGTCATCTCTCTCTCTCTCTCTCTCTCTCTCTCTCTCTCTCTCTCTCTCTCTATATATATATATATATATATAGAGTGCAATATAAATGGGTAATTATAACAAATGATAGAAGATTCTGAAAGCTAATGGAAAAAAACCTGGGAAGTCAAAGTTTCCTTAAAAAGTGAACTGCCATTAATAAACCGCCCCTCTGCCTCAATCTAAAGGAATCGTATTAAAGGTAGAGTAAGGGGGTAAGGGTCACTACTCATTCTCCGTCTTCATCTTTAACTACTGAGCACTGTAAACAAAAGGAAGTAAAGAAAACATAGGAAACATGTAAAAAGTAGCCTGAAGCGCCACCTACTGGCTGTATATGAGAATAAAATTTTTAGTATAGGCAATATTTCATATATACATGGCTATAAAATAAGAATGTTTAGACGCTGAGCTCCACCAAACAAGCAATTACCATGGGCACTTTCACTTAATTAGCTGCAGACCGGGCGTCCCCCACCCCTCTATGTAGACAATGTGGCAGGATGCTTGTGCTGACATCATTTACCTTATATGGCCACAAAACCATATTAAGTAAATGTCATTTACCAATACAGGCAAGGTAAATGATGTCACTGCATCCCACCCCTTTGCTTGGATTAAGCTGCAGGCGGGGAATTCACAACCCGCAGCTGATTGGGCTGCACAGAAGGACTTTCCTTTGCGTTTGGGAGGAGCTCCTTTCAGGTTCTGAACCTGAGCTCATCCCTAGCTATATTTTTAGTCCTGATCATAATAAACTGTATACAATATATAATAATGATTATATATTTATTTTTATTTATTTATTATTAAGTCTCGGCTGAGTTAACTGCTGGTGACATTTTGTTCTTGTTGCTTATGGCAATAAGATTCTTCCTTTCGCTGTATTATACTGGGCCACGAACATTCATGGGAGAGGCTCCTATAGGCTACTCCTAGGAGACACGTCTTATTATGGGGTACCAGGACGAAAAGCAGCAAACATACATATCAGCGTGGCTGTCAATGTGCTCATGTGATTGTTCTTACATTTTGTCTCCATGCATCAGCCGGTGTTGTGCAGCTCTTGTTTATAAATGATGCGAGCAGACATGACAAGACTCCCTGTTCCTGCAGCTCCAGATTATAATACGAGTCTATACACCTGTACTTAGGTTGTCAAAACGAAACATAACATTCAAACAATGGGGTCATCCGTGTTGTCTTCTGTGTACAGGAGTATAATTATTGAGTTGGCAGAAAATCACAGGAGGAAGAAAAATGCGATTGTTTTGTGCGCAGCGTTTAATCGCCGTCTCCACCTCACGCCCGCTCTGGAATTAAGTGACTCATTTAGCGTGGCGCAGGAGTGTAATTACGGTTTTGCAAGCACAGGTTTCCGCTTTCCCACTCATCATTAACCGTACCATATATCTCTGATAATCCCGAGGATTTTGCTGGGATAATTGTACAGGGAACGCGTACGATTAGTTAAGTTTAAATGTTACGTGCGTTCATTTTTATCGGCTTTGTAGAGGTGTTATTTTCTGAACTCTGGGTGGTTTTATGACTTTGCTCCTTCAAAAAGAACTACGGCGTGATCAAGGCTGCGCGCCGACTTCCTGCGACTCTAGGCAAGCTGAGCGATGGTGTCCTTTTGTGCAAGCTCCACCCCTTGTGTCTGTAGAAAAGTCGCATTAGCAGAGCCAAATAATGTTTCCTACAATGAATTAGTCCATTTTGGTGCGTCGGAGGTGTTCAGAAGAGGATGATGAACGTCAATATGATGATAAAGGATATGCATGGGGACAAATTAGCAAACAGTAATTAACACAGCGCCAACGGCTTAAGTCCAGGTAGGGAGATAGTCTGCAGTAATCGTGGTGTAAAGCATAAACGAGGCAGGCTCTCAAAAATAGGCTTTAGGGAAACCTCAACTCTGTAAAACAAAACACAGAGAGCGCCTCCATCGCGTAAAACCTTTTTAATAAAGTAAATTTAAACAGATGCAAACATACTCACAAAAGTCGAGTTTAAAAAGCATGAAACGATAAAAGCATGAGAGACTTAACCCGCCGGCTAGTCTTCCTCCCTGATGGTTAACGTTTCCGAGGTCACGCCTCCTTCGTCAGAACAGGTTTTCGGACCTCGGAAACGTTCACCATCAGGGAGGAAGACTAGCCGGCGGGTTAAGTCTCTCATGCTTTTATCGTTTCATGCTTTTTAA